GTTGCAGATACCGAGCCACAACTTGTCCACATCTCGTATCCAGTAGAATGGTAGAGCACCAAAGCCTGTGGCAATCGCAGTAAGCCAGCCACACCACCAGACGTAGTGTGCGTTCTTACCACTATGTCCATGAGAATATTGATGCATGGGAAAACTGTAGAGAGTGATTAATAGCATACAAAGGGCCAAGGCGTTAGCGAATCCGCGAGCGCCAGTGGTCGAGCCCAGTGACTCGTCACTAACAGCTTGCGAGCTCGGCATTGAAATTTCCGACGTGGCTTTGCCTGCTTGATTCTTAGAGAATTTAAATTCATCAACAGGAATTCCAAGAGTCTCACGTGGCTTAACATCCGTCACAGGCTCCATGAACTTTAGGAAATGACGTAGTCAGACTTCTTTACCGTTCTGGCTCGATTATAACTAACAAGAAGTTTTTTCCTTCAAAGAGTATATGCCAACAACATCTGTTTCCATCAATATTTGAATGTTAATTTCTTTTCTAAGGAATTAATTCAATGATCATATCTAAGCATGAGAATTTGTATCCGATCTCTTCGCATTTCAGCGATAAGCGCGAAATTGAAGATTGTTTGAATGGACAGAGAACATTGACTAAACTAAGGACTGCATTGTTAAGAATGAAGGAGACTAAAGCAGAAAATGATGAGAAGTAAGAGTATTTTCAGTTTAGTTCTTTGTCGTTGTAGCCAAACAGGAAAATATTGAGAGGGAGAGTCCAGCCGGGTTCGGATTGCGCTTATGTCTGAATGAAGTGATTTGTGGTGAGAAACGCTGGAGCACAATCTTATTAGCTGCTGCGAACGACTATAGCAACGGCACAATGTGTCAGTGCTGGACATAAGATACCGATTGTTGCGATCTTGCGCTGAACAATTGTCGTATGTTGTAACGGGGTTATACGTCCCCTGGTAACAGGGGTGTGTGTCACACTAGATGTGCATGGTGTGACTGCACCCAAACAAGAATACGGTATGTGGCTAGGTAGCCAGTAGTTCTGCATGTATTTAGATTTTACTATGTATATGTAGTATATTTAGAAAAATCTAGACTTTAAAATAAGGATAAAAAGATAAATAAAAATCAGTTTGGAATTTGAACCGAAGAGTCCATTAGCCTTGGGAAGGCAAGAATTACTCTTGGAGTAAGCGGATTGCGATCCGCTAAATCATACTTGGTTCTTGTAAAGAACGACAGGTCGGCGACCTAAAGTACGCTTCCTCAAGCGCTTAGCTACGGCAGCCTGCTGCACTTGGTAGCACTTGTAGCCAAATTACACCTGAGTCGTTTCGACTGATCCTCTGTGGGGATAGAGAAATTTTCCTCTTTGCCCCAGGGCATGCAGGACGGGCTTAACATGCTGATGTCCTTGCTTGGCCCTGAGGGCGTGCAACATCTTGTAGGACAAGGCCCCGAGGCAATCGGTGCGCG